GCCTGCCCGCCCGCCGCCCGCCTAGGAACCAGGAGGTCGCGGTTCAAGTCCCGGGTTGCGGGCTCCATCCCCTGTAGGCGGCGTGCGGGAGGCAGCCGACCCATGATTCTCTCATCATTGATGTTTCTCTCTCTCTCTCTCCCTTCCTCTCTCTGAAATCAATAAAAATGTATTTATTTAAAAAAAATCTTAATAAAAGCAGGTGCCGGGGAAAAGATTGGAGAGGTGTCCGGGGCTCACGGGCGCTCAGTTGTCAAGTCTTGTAAGTTGTCTTTTTTAAAAAATATATATATTTTATTGATTTTTTTACAGAGAGGAAGGGAGAGGGGTAGAGAGTTAGAAACATCGATGAGAGAGAAACATTGATCAGCTGCCTCCTGCACACCCCCTACCGGGGATGTGCCCGCAACCCAGGTACATGCCCTTGACCGGAATCGAACCTGGGACCCTTCAGTCCGCAGGCCGACGCTCTAGCCACTGAGCCAAACCGGTTAGGGCCTTGTAAGTTGTCCTGACGTGTATTTTATTATTATTATTGATTTTAGAGAGGAAGGGAGAGAGAGAGAGAAGCATTGACGTGTGAGGGAGACATCGACTGGCTGCCTCCTGACCTGGGTCGAACTTGCAACCTTTGGGCGCAGGGGACAACGCGCCAACCACTGAGCCACCCGGCCAGGGCGGTTCTGACCTATTTAATGAACAGAACTGCTGGGTGTTTCTTTTGCCCAAGGGGCTCTGGGGGAGGGGGGGACACCTCAGGCAGCAAAGGTGTACGAACCGAGGGAGCTTGGGAACCTCTAACCTAAACGCGTTAAGCGGCCAGGAAGCCGGGATAAAAGGGGATACGCAGGAAGGTGCTTTGAAACGTCTGCAGCAGGGCTTCTCGACCTTCCTGAACAGGGTCAGGTAGTAAGAGTTCTAGCCTGTGGGCCATGAGGCCTGCTTTTACCCCGCTCTGCCGACCGGCAAAACCAGCCATAGAAGCCTGTTTAAAAAAAAAGAAAAAGAAAGGCCGGCTGTCTTCCGATAAATGACATTTGCAAGAGCACTCGGTCGGCTGGGTGTGGCCTGTAGCCCAGCCTCCCCCAGAGGCACCGGGACGCTGGGGCCGGAGCTTGAGGCAGCGTGTTGGGCATGAGTGCGTCTGAACCGGAGGCCGCGGGGCCCACGGAGAGCCCTCCCGCCAAGTCGGGGTTCCATTCCGTGGCCTGAGCCGTTCGCTTTCCAGGCAAAAGCATCTCCGAAGTGAAGTGATGCTCTTGGCACGGGTCACCCTGAGCCGGTGGCCCCTCTGTCAGGTCGCGGTTTTGTCTCCGGCTGTGCAAACGCCACATAATGCCCCCGCGCTCGGCGGTGCCTTCGTCACAGCCACAGATCGTCCTGAACGGCCCTGGGAGGCTCGTTATGTGTCAGATGCCCCGGGAAGAGAGAAAAACGCGGGGTGTTATGTAAACTAGAGAGAGGGAGAGAGAGAGAGAGAGAGAGAGCGCCAGACCTCATGTTGCACTGGCGGCCATTGGTTAGAACATGGTCTTGTGCTGAGAGGCGAATAATTATTGCTTTTAATTAAGATGGTTTTTTTCTGGGGCAGTCAGCACCACTCGTCATTAAAAATGGTTTGGGCCCGGCCAGCATGGCTCAGGGGTTGAGCATCGACCTATGAAGCAGGAGGTCACGGTTCGATTCCCGGTCAGGGCACAGGCCCGGGTTGTGGGCTCGATCCCCAGGGTGGGACAGCCGATCCACGATTCTCTCTCCTCACTGATGTTTCTATCTCTCCCTTCCTCTCCCTTCCTCTCTGAAATCAATGGAAAATACATTTTAAAAAACCAAGTTCGTGAGCCGCCCCGGGCGCCCCCTTGGGGGAGGGCCCCGCGGGCTGCAGGGAGGGCGGGAGGAACGCACCCACTTGGGCATCTGGCCACCGTCGGGGTCGTGGTGGTGGTACTGCAGCACGATCACCGTGACGACCACGGAGAGGCCCACGATGATCATGGTGCTGGCGAAGTACTGGGCTGCGGAGAGAAAGGGCGGCTGAGGCCGGCCGCCGGGGCGGAGGGCGGACCCGGGAGGCCCTGCCTTGGATCTGTCCCGGCCCCAGCGTGTCCGTCCTGCTCGCACGTCCTCACAGCGGGCCGTCCCAGGAAACAGCTGCTGAGGGTGAAAGTGGGTGCCCTTCCCGTCCTAAGGGAGGATCTGAGGGGGGACGGTGGGTCCAGCTGACACAGTGAACCTCTAATGCAGTGGTTCTCAACCTTCCGGCCCTTTAAATACAGTTCCTCACGTGGTGACCCAACCATAAAATGATTTTCGTCGCTACTTCCTAACTGTCATGTTGCTACTGTGATGAATCGTCATGTAAATATCTGATATGCAGGATGGGCTTAGGCGACCCCTGTGAAAGGGTCGCTCGACTGCCAAGGGGGTCGCGACCCACAGGTTGAGAACCACTGCTCTAATGGCTCCCTAACAAGCACGAGGGGGGATTAGGGAGGAGGGGGCCATGTCTGCATCTTAGACCCGAACAGCACAGCGGGACCCCCCCACCCCCCTCGCCTGTGCCCCGGTGAGCAGAGCCCATGGACCACCCTGCACAGTGACAGCAAGGCCTGGCCTCGGGCGGAAGCCGGGCGGTGCGGCTCCCCGGCCCGTGCCTGGAGGCCCTTACCTATCAGGGGCACCGAGTCGGATGTCGCGGGCATGATTTCGGCCACCAGCAGCATGAAGACGGTGAGAGAGAGCAGCACCGTGATCCCTGAGGCAGAGAGACAGGGCGCAGGAGACAGACCGGCCGTGAGGCCTCCGTTCCCTCCAGCGGGGACCCCACCCGAGGTTCCAACCACTAGAGCAGCGGTTCTCAGCCTTCTGGCCCGTTCAATACAGTTCCTCATGTTGTGGTGACCCCCAACCATAAAATGATTTCTGTTGCTACTTCATCACTGTAATGTTGCTGCTGTTATGAATCATCATGTAAATATCTGATATGCAGGATGGTCTTAGGCGACCCCTGTGAAAGGGGCATTCGACCGCCAAAGGGGTCGCGACCCACAGGCTGAGAACCGCTGAACTGGAGGGTGGAGGGAGGGGCAGGCGGTGTCTAAGGCGTTCCTGAACACAAGGGCCTGGTTTTCTGTATTTCGGGGGGACGGGGGTTCCAGAGAAGCCCCGGGAGGAGTCGGATTTAGGAGCCGGGACTTTAGAACCACACAGAATGCGTCATTGACGACAGCGCTAGTGTCTCTCTTTTTCTTTACGACGTTCGTATGCAGAGGTCGTCTCATGAGGCAGGAAAAGGAAAACAGCCAGTCCGGCCGGTGTGGCTCAGGGGTTGAGCATCGACCTAGGAACCAGGAGGTCACGGTTCGATTCCCGGTCAGGGCACATGCCCAGGGTTGCCGGCTCCATCCCCAGTGGGGGGTGTGCAGGAGGCGGCCGATCCGTGATTCTCTCTCATCACTGATGCTTCTATCTCTCTCCTCTCCTCCTCTCTCCCTTCCTCTCTGAAATCAATAAAAAGATATTTTTTTACAAACAAAAAGCAGGACGGGGTGTCAGAGGGGAGAAACCCCAGGCCCCTCAGGGGAGAACTGGCCCCTTCCTGGGTGTTCCCACCCTCCTTGTAGGATCAGGGTGTCCCATGAGGGCGTGGCATCCGACACAGAGGCGATAGCAGGAGCCTGTGTGGTCAGGGAGACCTCCTGGGCTAGGAGGTCAGTGTGTGACGTCACACAGACACCCCCAACATCTCCGCACCCAGAGCCCCTTGGGCCGGGCGCTGTCCATGGTGCTGAAACACAGGCCGCGCCCTCCCGTCCCCTCTGGCTCCCCTGGAAGGCGGGCACTCACCCAGGGAGATTTTCTCCCCGGAGTCCGCGGGCAGCAGGAAGACCAGCAGGGCCAGGGCGGAGATGAGCACGCAGGGGATGAGCAGGTTGAGGCCGTAGTAGAGGGTCCGCCGGCGGATGGTCACCGTGAAGGTGACGTCGGGGTAGGGCTCCTTGCAGCACTCGTAGAACCGCTCGCTGCGCTTGCCCGGGATGCCTCCGTGGGGGCAGGGAGGAAAGGAACACACATCACCCTGCTTGTTTATGGCACCGCGTATGACACGCACACACAGCCATGGAGCTGATGTCCCCCCAAAATTGGGGCCGGCCGGTGTGGCTCGGTGGCTGAGTGTTGGCCTATGAACCAGGAGGGCACGGTTGGATTCCCTGGGTTGAGGGCTCCCAGTAGGGGCCGAGCAGGAAGCAGACGATCCATGATTCTCTCTCATCATTGATGTTTCTCTCTCTCTCTCCCTCTCTGAAATCAATAAAAAATATATTTTTTAAAAATTGGGTAATTGGTGTCTGAATGAGCACTTCCTGGTTTACCATAGAGTTCTTTAGGAGTGTATTAGTGATATTTGAACAGCTTAGCAGGGTGTTTTGATGGACTGGAATTACATGGGCTATAAACTGAATGTCTGTGTCCCCCCCCAAAATTCGTGGGTTGAAACCTAACCCCTAACGTGGTGGTGTCAGGAGGTGGGGCCGGTGAGAGGTGATTAGGTCAGAAGGGTGCAGCCCTCCTGGGTGGGATTAGTGCCCTTGTAGCGGAGACCCCGGAGAGCTCCCTGCCCCTCCGTCATGGACACGCAGTGAGAAGGCAGCTGTCCATGGATCGGGAAGCTGCCCTCGCCAGACACCAAATCTGCTAACACGTTGATCCTGGACGTCCAGGCTCCAGAACTGCGAGAAATAAATGTCTGTTGTTTATGAGCCACCCCGAGTGGACTAAGCCGCCATGACGATAAATGTCACACTGTAAACTTTACGCCAGTATAAATGCAATCTGCTGTTGTCCAGCGTGACGGTAGGAACAGAAGATTCGCAGGATGTACGGATGCCTATCCTGGCACCGGCTCATTTAAACGGTTATGACCACAGTCCCCCTGGGAAGCACCAAATCTTCTCATTGCCTTTGCGTCTGATCCTATCGCCCGCGGGGAATCATGGCGAGTGCCGTAAATGCACCGAAACGCAGAGTGGAAAATCCCAAGCTGCTAAGCAAGCCCGGGAATACCGCCGCTCTCCTCCGGGCAGCGGGCCGCCCGCCCCGCGGGGCTCACCTATGAGGTCCCACTCCCCGTTCGGGATGTAGCCGCTGACGTCCGCCTCCTGCATCTGGAGGTCCAGGGACCACCCTCCGTACGACCAGGACCCGAACTTGAGTTGGCACTGCTGCACGTCGAACGGGAACCAGCGCACGTCGATGTAGCAGGAGCTCTTGAAGATGCCTGCGGGGGCCACGGGCACCGTCAGGCGCGGGGGAGCTGGCGAGGTGTGCGCCAAACCCACAGCAGCCTCGCCCGGCCGGCCGGCGGGATTGGGCATGGGTGCCGCCTTTGTGGAAAGAGTAGGGAGGGTCCTCAAGAACTTAAAAACAGAACTACCACGTGACCCGGCAGTCCCGCTTCTGGGTACGTATCCACGGGAAACAAAACAACTACCCCGTGTTCACTGCAGCATCATTCACCACAGGGAGGGCGGCACCTGGACAGCAACATCTGGGGAGCAACATCTGGGGGTGGCCCCTGCCCAGAGCTCAGGACTAGCTCCCAGCTCGTGGGAGCAGAGGCAGGACGGACACCCCACACTCAGCTTGTCGCTGTAGGAGAGCCGAGGACGCAGCCTCACCTGGAGGGAGGTACTGGCAGTGCCCGGAGGAGTTCACCAGCACGTTGGTGTGGAAGGTGGCGTCAAATCGCTCGTCGGCACTGGGAACGGGAAAAGGGCTCCGTGAGCTGGCACTGCCCCCGGTGCCCTCTGGGCTGTCATGACCGGGTCCCGGCAGCTTGGAGGGGCTGCCGCCTGTTCCCCGGCCACAGACGCAGCCGGCCTGGGAGACGGGTCCCCAGGGGCCGCCACCCACCCCCATTTCACAGAGACCGAGAGGGAGAGAAGAGACCTCGATGCGAGAAACCTCCACCGGTCGCCTCCGTACCAGCCCCCGACTGGGGACTGAACCAAAATATGTTTTTTAAAAAAACAAACAAAATTTCCTTTAGTATTTAAAAATATTTCATAAAAATCCAAACGCTCCCACGTGGCTGAGGCAGCCGCCCGCAGCTGCACAGCTCAGGGTCCCAGCTCTCCTGGGCCCAGGCTGCTGACCACCGACACCAGCGCGGCCTGGCCTCGGTCCAGGGGAGACCGTGACAAGCCACCCTCACTGGGCCCGCTCCTCCCTCGGGGCGCCGCCGCGTTCAGAACAACCCTTGAACCGCAGGCTTGCGGTAACGCAGAAGGAAGCAAGCAAGAAACCCCTGGCTCAGCACCTGGCCGGCCTGCTCCTCTTGGCGCCCGCCCTCTCGGCGGGCAGCCCGGCCAGCTGGCTGGCAGCACCGGCCTTGTCCACCATCCGTCAGGGAAATGAAGCAGCCGTCCCCCAGGACAGACGGCCGGTCTGCAGCAAGCGGCCTCTTTTGAAAGAATATATACTTCTACGATCTCAGAGAGGAAGGGAGAGGGGGAGAGAGAGACACTCAGGATGAGAGAGAATCATCCATCGGCTGCCTCCTGCACGCCCCCTATGGGGGCGCCGAGTCTGCAACCCCGGCATGTGTCCTGACCGGGGATCAAACTGGCGACCTCCTGGCCCATGGGTGGACGCTCAGCTAACTGAGCCACACGGGCCGGGTGGAACTCTCTCTAAGAAATATTTAGCTCCTTGTCACTTTCTAGGCCTCATTGCAACAAGATGCCCTGCATTTGCTACGCAGATGAGCCAAGGATTTTAAGGCTCCTAGAAACTGACCCCACCTGGATGCCTGTCTTTGGGGCATCTGGTCTACCAAGCAGACGGCCTTGGGTTACAGACGAAGCCCTCATTTCTTGCCTTCTCAAAGGCCATTTACAGCCCCCACCGGTTTGGCTCAGTGGATAGAGCGTCGGCCTGCGGACTGAAGGATCCCAGGTTCGATTCCAGCCAAGGGCACATACCCGGGTTGCGGGCTTGGTCCCCAGTCTGGAGTTTGCAGGAGGCAGCCGATCCATGATTCTCTCTCATCATGGATGTTTCTCTCTCTCTCTCCCTAACCCTTCCTCTCTGAAATCAATAAAAATATATTTTTTTAAAAAGAAACTGTTAAAAAAAAAAAGAGGGGGGGGCATTTACAACGCCCAGTGGGAGCAGTGGTCCAAGTTATAGATACGAGATCAGGCACATCCACCGAACGCTCAGACACACGCCGATCGCTACCCACATGCCAGCACACAGCCGCCCCTCCTCCCGCCCGGGCTCACCTGTTGTAGAGAAGGATGTCCGGCTTCCAGATCTGGCCGTCGGGGAAGCGCACGGTCTGCACGCCCGGGTACTCCGACGTGTTCCACTGCAGATAGTGATCTGTCCAGGACTGACACGCACAGTGCCGTCAGGCGCACATATGGCCTTGGCCACTGAAACTGATCTAGGACACGGCTAGGTAAGCTCAGAGCCCAAAGGAGCGAGCCAGGAGGTCACGGTTCCATTCCAGGTCGGGGCACAGGCCCGGGCTGCGGGCTCCGTCCCCAGTAGGGGGCGTGCAGGAGGCAGCCGGTCAATGATTCTCTCTCCTCATTGATGCTTCTATCTCTCCCTCTCCCTTCCTCTCTAAAATCAATTAAAAAAAAAAAGAACGAGAAAGAAAGAAACATCACCTTTAACTACAGTTGCTAACATGGCCCCCAGCAAGTCCCGGCTCGCTTGTCTATGAGCCCAATGTGTGAAGTGACAGAGTTCAAAAATGAATAAGAGAAAGGAGTTAGAAATAAATACGGTTGCCCTGGCCGGTTTGTCTCAATGGATAGAGCATTGGCCTGTGGGACTGAAGGGTCCTGGGTTCCATTCTGGTGAAGGGCACAGGCCTGGGTTGCAGGCTCGATCCCCAGTAGGGGGCGTGCAGGAGGCAGCCGATCCAGGATTCTCGCTCATCACTGATGTTTCTCTCTCTCTCCCTCTCCCTTCCTCTCTGAAATCAATACAAACATATTTAAAAGAAAGAAAGAAATACGGTTCACAGCCTAACATCTGCCATGTGGATGCTGTTGGGCCCATAATTAGAATCAGGAGGTAAAAAGGAATAGAGACTCTTCTCAGGAGGCTTGGAAACCGAGAGCCAGGGAGAACGACCGACATTCCAAGCTCGGAGAAGACAGGTTTTATTTTTTTTCTCGACTCGGTGACAAATGTCCCCCGTTTTCAAAGCAGCAGCCGGGAGTGTGGGAGTGGCCGGAAAGTCCCTGCAGAAACGGAGAGGCACCCGCCGCCTCCCTTCCTGGGTCAAATCAGATGGCAGCGGACAGGCCCCCCCGAAACAATACACTAAGCCCTGGAGAACCCCCACTGCTCCCTCGGAGGACCAGAAAGAGGCAAACACCGACATCAGCCGCTTTCTCCTCGGGCGGAATCAAGGGCGAGTGGGACGATGGGAAAACAAGATCAATCCCCCGCTGCCCAGGAAGAATTGATCGTGCTGTCGCTGTTCACCTCTCTGCCTCTTCTCTTCGGGAAGCGCAGAAGCACCGCGCATCTGCAGGAACATTCGCTTGTGGAGGGCCTGAGGTCCAGGAGGTGGATTTAGATGCTGGGACCAGGGGTTCAGCAACGTGAGGCCCCAGGAGCCCGATTTCCTGTCCACATGTCCACCCTCCCCTGGAACCCCGTCCTTCCACCTGCAGGTGCTCTTGTATCTATCGTGTTGTTTGTTTGTTTTTAAAGGGTCCAGGAGGTGGATTTAGATGCTGGGACCAGGGATTCAGCAACGTGAGACCCCAGGAGCCCGATTTCCTGTCCACCCTCCCCTGGAACCCCGGCCTTCCACCTGCAGCTGCTCTTGTATCTATCGTGTTGTTTGTTTGTTTTTAAATATGTTGTATTGATTTTAGGGAGAAGGGAAGGGAGAGGGAGAGGGAGAGAAACATCGATGGGCTGCCTCCTGCACGCCCCCTACTGGGGGATCGAGCCCACAACTTCGGCATGTGCCCTGACCGGGAATCGAACTGGTGACCTCCTGGTTCATCGGTCCACGCTCAACCACTGAGCCACACCGGCCGGGCTTTAACCTTCTTTTAGACTGTAAATTACTCAGCCTGATTGCAGGCGGCTTGGAAGTGGCTGAATAAGTAAAGGCGATGAACGGGGCGAGTTTTAGAGGAAGCGAAGCAGAGGATGCCTCTGCAAGAACGAGCCGTGGTTAGAGGGGAGTTTATTTTCGGAGCAACGGACTCAAAACAGTGCCTGGCCACCCAAGTACGGGTTCTCCTGGCAATCCGCACCCTTCCGGGCAAACTGCCAAATCTTTTCCTTTTAATCCTCACCCGGGGATATGTTTTCATTGATTTTTTACAGGGAAAGGAAGGGGGGAGAGAGGAGAGAGAGAGAAGCATCAATCGGTTGCCTCCCGCACACGCCCAGACCAGGGATGGAACCCACAACCTAAGTAGGCGTCCTGACTGGGAATCGAACCTGCAGCCGTTTGGTGTCCGGGACGACAGGCCTGGCTTTTCTCCCGGGGCCCCTGCTGGCCCTGCCGTCCACACACGAGCGTCTCAGAGGCAAGGGCAGGGACATCGGAGGGCGAGGGCTGCCCGGGCCTCCACTTACCATCTGCAGCCAGATGTTGGTGGTGAGGACCTGGTTCTTCTCGTCCTTTAAAGAGAAGAGAAGAGACTTGTGACTGTGGCGGGCACGGCTTCCGGAAGGGCCCGGCACCGCCGCCCAGAGAGCAGTCTGGTTCCTGGGACTGTGGGGACGTGTGGACATGGGAAGGCACCAAGCCTGCCCGAGCCCACGGGCCCAGAGGTCAGCTTCCCTCTGCGTTCGGAGGAAATACTCATTTGTCATCGAGCCCTGACAAACGGCTGAAAAGTATCAAATAGAAAATGAAAACCCTGCTACCCCACCACCAGAGGTGGCACCTGAGAATGGCTTAGCTTATTTCTCTTTCTATTTTAAAAATAATTTATGAACCTAAAAAATTAAATTGGGCACAAAGTCCAATTTTTAAAAAAAAAAATCCTCACCTGAGTATAAGTTTATTGGTTTTACGGAGAGGGAGAGAGAGAGGGAGAGAGGGAGATAGAAACACCCATGATGAGAGAGAATCATGGATCGGCTGCCTCCTGCACGCCCCGCGCTGGGGACGGAGCCCGAAACCCGGGCCTGTGCCCTGATCGGGAATCGAACCGTGACCTCCTGGTTGAGGTCGATGCTCAGCCACTGAGCCGCGAGGGCGGGGCAAGAACCTGTTCTTTTTAATGGCCTTAAAGTGAGCCCGTCCGTGTTCCGCGCAGGTGGCTGGCTTGCTTTTAATTGCGTCGTGTCTGTCTTCTCGGGGAAAAGGGCTTCTGTGGTTTGGGAGCTGATTGCTACCGATCTAATTAAAAGGCTTTCTTCCTCCCAGCATCCTGCCTGAAACCTCATTAGAGCGGAACGGGCTTCTGTGGAGCGCGGCGGCGTGGCGCCCAGACGGCAGCGTTTCGACTGCAATCAGCGCGGCCGGCCGGCACAGTCTGCGAGTGTCGTGGTGCCAGGTAGGGACGACTCCGGGGGACAAGCCCACAGAACCGGCAGGCAGGCTGCTGTCTGCATTCCCGGAGGGGGTCCCCGGCCTCCCCTCCCCGTCCAGGGACACCTACTCGCTGGCTTAGCCTCTCAGCTCTCTGTCTGCTCCATGACAAGGTGTCACAGCTCCTTCCCACCCCACCCCCCAGTGCAGTACCCCCTCTTCTCTCCCCAGATTTCTACATGGAAATGTAACCCTCACTGTGAGGGTATCTGGAGGGGGGGCCTTTGCAGGGTGATTAGGTCAGGAGGGTGCAGCCCTCATGACTGGGATTAGTGCCCTTATCCAAGAGACCCAGGGCCCTGGCCGGTGTGGCTCGGTGGTTGAGCGTCGACCTGTGAACCAGGAGGTCACGGTTGGATTCCTGGTCAGGGCACAGGCCCGGGTTGCAGGCTCAATTCCCAGTAGGGGGCGTGCAGGAGGCAGCC